GAGGTGAAATACATTTAGGTTTAAAGAAAAATAATATTGTAAATATTATAAGCAGCCGGAATGATATGTTGAGTACAGCAGTTATTTGATTTGTTTTCCTAAAAAAATAATTGCCCCACCCAGTTAAGGAACCTTGCCTGCCCGGGATTAGAACCTGGGTTCTTGGTTGGACAAAGGCTATGGAAGCAAATCCAAAAAGAAAAGCAGGCTGAAATCGGAGTCAATAGCCTCAATGGCGCATAACCAGTTGACACGTAATCCTTAATTGTGATGGAAGCATGGTCGAGTCGGCAAAGCTTATGGTTGATAAAGTCTCGAGTTCAAACCCTCTGGCAGGTAAAGCTCGATCCCTCCCAACACTAAAACATAAGAACGAAGAAGAAGAAGAACCTGGATATCTGAAGTAAGCAATCACGTGATCTCCCAAATGACTTCCACGAACAAAATGTTGATAGGTGTGGAGAGTTGGGTGATGTATGGCATGATTCTGGAACAGAAAATTAATATTCTTCTTTCTTATTTTTGTAATTAGTCACAATGAAAAAAAAATCCCTTAGCTACAGCCATATATAATTAAGTTATGCATTTATTTGCTAAATTTAAGCAATAAATGCATAACTGTTGGAACAATGCAGAACACTATTTTAAATAAAAATGTTTTGGGTCAAATTATTTATAACAAAAAAGCGCATCATACATAGATTCTAATGTGTGTACTGTTTATAGCTCCTTAATTATAAATAGGGGCCTACTATAATATAAAATTTATGTGTGTATGTATAATATTTTTTTGGCTAATTTTTTGAAAATTCTACATAGCCTTGCTGACCCTTCCCTCTTAAAGCGAAACGGTAAAAATAGGCCTAGATGTGCAAAATATTGCTCATTTTATTTGCCAGGGGAGAAAACTTTTCTTTTCAAAAATCAATTATTCTCAAATAGCGGCAACAATAAATAAAAGTCATTTATTTTTTTTATATTTTTAAACTGACCATAAAATAAGACAAAAATTTTAACTGCAATTAGTTTTCAAAAATAAAATCAAGCTAATTATATGCTCACATTGTTGTATTTATCAAAGCGTTAGGATTTAAAAAAAACATATGAAGACAAAAGACTCTTTAGATTAAACAGTGATGGGAGTCTGCTTCTATGGTTTCGCCATGTAGATCTATATTCGCAATATGCGTTGGCCGGCGATGGTGTGGGGTGTCTGAAAAGTAAGATCACATATGTTTACTCCCAATTCTTATATAATGCAGCAATATATATATATATTTTTTTTTTTTTTTTTTTTTTTTTTTTACATTTCTTGTTCACAAATCGCTGTTTAAATTTAATGACAAGAAATAGATAATTGGTGTTTCACAAGTTGAATGCTTTGTGAAACTTGAAACACATTGATTTTTTTTTTATTCTACCTAACAAACATATCAATAAAAAAAATGCAGAAGTAGTTGTAAATTGTCGAGTATTGAAGGAGATCAAATTATTTTCATCTAATGGAGGAACTAAACAAGGATTTCCTAAATGACCACAGCACAATGCAAGTTAAATACTGTCTGACCTGACAGAAAGTCTTCTCTTGATGTAAAAGTCTGCATGTCATGTCTGCCTTGTTAAATAGACGTGAGGAATGGGCACTCTATGTAGACCTCTAGAGAGCGGTCTAGGCGCTACCAATGCAATTTTTATGAATATAATGCACAAATCATCGAAGGAAATTTCACTTAATGGTGTCATACGTTTATGGCTAACTAACTGACAGACATGCAATATCACGAAAAAACGTCAGCACATATATTTCTTTTTAATCTTAACTGTTCTCAAATTGTCAGAAATTAACCTTGCCAGTGAGGTCTACGACGTGTGTCTCACATTTATACACACCCGATTTTGTTGAGTCTGGGTATTCCCTAAATAGACTCATGTTTGAAGCACAAACCCCTTAGTGTGGTGGTAAAATATGTTGTGCTAGATTGTTCTAACTGTTATGACATGTAAACCACACTTTCTTTCCGACAAAATGCACCACACACCTCAGTGGACAACCTACTACTTGTATATAGTGCCAAGGTCTAGACATTTAGGTTTGAAAGATAACATTCTACAACAACACATTTCAATATTAGATAGTGTACAATATTTTAACTAAATTTAAAGAAGTTATTAAATAGGTACTGTGTGACTGATCCTACATCAAGGTGTATCAATGTTAGTGGGTAGTTAAGGTATCAAGGAACTCACTCTCACACAGAACATACACGTGAGTCTGTAAGGTGAGTAGGTAAGCTATCAAAAAACTCACTCTCACACAGAACATACACGTGAGTCTGTAAGGTGAGTAGGTAAGCTATCAAAAAACTCACTCTCACACAGAACATACACGTGAGTCTGTAAGGTGGGTAGTTAAGGTATCAAGGAACTCACTCTCACACAGAACATACACACATGCCCTCTCATCCGGCCAGTGGAGATTTTTTTCGACTACAGAATTCAATTCATCTTAGTGCCAAACGACAATAATCTCAGGTAACTGTTGATGTTAGACACTTCAAACATCCAGAAAACAATTTCACCATCCCCACTAATACAGGTATTAATGCGTAGTGTAATAATGTTTTTTTAAATGGTAATAATAAATAATTAATAACTAAATAATTAAAAACAACATCCATTTATTGTTTCTTTTTTATTTGTACCTCGAGTGTGATATTGGCCCTCGCACTGCTATTTAATAGTTTATATGGCCCACTGGCTAAAAGCTTGGAGAACCATTGTTTAACAACCCGAGGGCCACATTAACTATCAAATAGCAGCATAAGGGCAACATTAACTATCAAATAACAGCAAAAGGGCCACATTAACTATCAAATAGCAGCCTGAGGGCCACATTAACTATCAAATAGCAGCCCGAGGGCCACATTAACTATCAAATAGCAGCATAAGGGCCACATTAACTATTAAATAGCAGCATAAGGGCCACATTAACTATCAAATAACAGCCCGAGGGCCACATTAACTATCAAATAGCAGCCCAAGGGCCACATTAACTATCAAATAGCAGCCCGAGGGCCACATTAACTATCAAATAGTAGCATAAGGGCCACATTAACTATCAAATAGCAGCATAAGGGCCACATTAACTATCAAATAGCAGCCCGAGGGCAATATTAACCATCAAATAGCAGCCAACAACACAACTGAGGTGCAAATTAAATATAATCAAAACATTAATGTTGTTTTAAATTATTTATTTAACATTATTTTATTTAGTAAATATTTAATTACACATTGTTACACTACACATTAATACCTGTGTTAGTGGGAATGGTGAAATAGCTTCCTGGATGCCAGAATACCAGACATTTCTGTCTTTAGATTCACGTCAATAACATCAACAGTGACCTGAGATTATCATCGGACAATTTTGTTCTCAAAGACATGGTTTCGTTGCTAATCACACAATGCTTTCTTGCCAGATTTGACAAAGAAATATTTCAAACTCTATTTTTCTTGAAGTGTCCCACACCCATCGAATTTTTTTTTCTTCTTTTCATCTTCTCGGCTATTGCTGGACACTAAGATAAAGTAAATGCCGTAGTCAAAAGGATCTCAATGGGCCGGTTTATAATACGTGTGTATGTTCTGTGTGAGTTCCTTGATACCTTACCTACTCACCTTACAGACTCACGTGTATGTTCTATGTGAGAGTGAGTTCCTTGATACCTTACCTACCCACCTTACAGACTCACGTGTATGTTCTATGTGAGAGTGAGTTCCTTGATACCTTACCTACCCACCTTACAGACTCACGTGTATGTTCTATGTGAGAGTGAGTTCCTTGATGCCTTAACTACTCACCTTACACACTCAAGTCTGTTTCAGGAAAATATTTCTTCATTGATAGCCCGTAAGATGTTTTATTAATACATGTTGTATGGAGTTATTTCTAGTTTACATTGTTTGAATGTTTTTTTTTTATTCTTATCAACTAGTTTATTAAATAAAGTGTATGTTTTCAATGTGTAAATGTTAAAAAGCAATATTTTAGAAATATTTATGATCCTTAGCTAAACAATTGCATTGAAAATATATTTGTAAACCGATTTATTATATCAATTAGATTTTAGCAGATATATTCTAGTAATTAGACCAGGGGTCGGCAACCTGCGGCTCGCGAGCCGCATGCGGCTCTTTTGATGTCGAGTTGCGGCTCTTCAGCTCGATGCACAAATATTAAAAATTATTTATTTATTTTTAAAACTCATAAAAGTATTAGTCTGCAACACTTGGTAATGAACGATAAAATAATAAATATAAACAATAAACACTCTATTATATTAGAATATTTAGATCACTCACCGTAATATCACCGTTAATCACTCACCTCCTGAGTGTCGAGGACAGAAAGTGGCGCTCTCGTGAACCCGATTACAGTACCACATGGGCGCCGCGTTCGGCCCTTAGCTCGGATCAATCATCGAATGTCGTATTGTAGGGTGCTCCTTAAAACTAAGGTAGGCGCTTATTTATATATATATATATATATATATATATATTTATATATATATATATATATATATATATATATATATATATATATATATATATATATATATATATATATATATATATATTTATATGTTTATGCAACTTTCATATAACAAAAACGAGTAAGAACATTTAATCTAAAAGTGTGTTACCATCTTGTCTGATGAAGGCACCAAGGAATAATTGCACAAAAGACAACAGCACGGTGTGAGGCATCGAAAAAATGACAGGACCTAACAGACTCACGTGTGGGTAAAGAATCTCAATTAAAAGACATTTGACGGTTAGAACAATGTTAGTAAATGATGGTTTCATGAAATGTATTCATCTTTAAGTTGGCAATGCTTTTTAATTACTTTATGAAAAGTATAATAAATTGTGAAATACAATTTTTTTTTTTCTTTTTATAGAAATGAAGTAATTTATTATTAAAATAATCAATGTGGTCACCATTGTTGGTGCATTTAAAATAAAAATGTTTTTGTTCAAAATAAGATAGAGTGAAGAGACTTTCTTACATTAGCCATTTCTTGTTGTTGAGTGTCCATTAATATACGTTTCTGTAACAGTTGCATCTCTTTTTTGAGCTCAGACTGAAGGGATGTCTGTTGGCTTAGCCTTGATCGTTCAAGTTCCTCAAGTCCTCTGACAAATTGTTCACTTAGCTCTCTTATAGTTTTAAGTCTTTGATTTTGAACTATTCTGGACTGTTGGAAAAGCTTTTGCTGTTGTTTGAACAGAGTATTTAATTTTTCTTCTTGTTCTTTTGTTTTTTCTACGTCAGATTCCCACTGTTGGTATACTGAGTTAATCTGTTTACCAAACTCTTCCTGCAATTTGGCTCTGGCTGTTTGCTGATTCTTCCAAATTTCTTCTACCTTTTTATTTGTATTTTTTAGTGAAGCTTGGGTCAACTGTTCCACCCTCTTCTTCTTGTGACTTAGTGTCTTAAAAATGTCAGCTCCAAATCCTTCAAGCATTTTCTGCATTTCATTGCTGAAATCTGCTGGATCATAATCCATATCTGCTATTCTCTTTTTTGCAGGAGCACTATTTACTTCAATTAGTGTTTCATTATCTTTTCCTTTTGGTACGGTGCAAGGCGGTCTTTGAGGACTTTCCTCATCCAATAAAAATAAATTGTGAAATACAAAAATTGTTTTTAAATTCGTACATTTTAGTAAGATAGTAGTTTAATTAAAATTTCCTACTTTAATAGACTTAAAATTTAAAATAACTAAGGCTGGCAAGTATATATAATTATTACATACTTTAAGAAATCTTTAGTAGTATACGATAACACATTACGTTTTTTTAAGTTGAAATATTATTTTATCGAAAATCTTACAAGTTTTAATGGAAAAACAAAATTGTTTATGTAAAATAAATAAAAGATAAATTTTGAAAACATTGTATTGGTTGTCTACCTTTGCAATATTTTTATATAAAGGAAAAGCATAGAAACATAACTTATGCGACGATTACTATTGGTTTAATAACTCTCCCTCTATATCTCTATACGGCGATTACCAGCTCAGGTTATTGCTTATTAGCCAGAGAGACATGTCCATAGCACCACCTGGTTTTGACATGAGGGGAGATTCGGTCACATGACCTACTGTCTCGAGCCAAGGCTACTCACTCGTGACTATCGGGTTAACAGGCGTGCAGTCTACCGCTTGACCACGTCATTCCCAGGTTTAACCCTTTGAACCCTCAATAACTCTCAATAAAGAAAAAAAAAACAAATAAAAAAAAAAAACCAACACAGACTACGACAATAACAACACTATTAGTTTTAATTATTCTATTGTACATACATTATCGCCGAGAGACTTGGTATGCCGGTCACAAGTGTAGTTAGACATTTTACACATACGGAGGTGTAGATTTAGGTAGAATGACCATTGGAAATTTTTAAAATGTCTTTCCATCGTGAAATGTAAATGATAAACACAAACATAAATATTGGTTCACTGACGCAGTCGTGCCACGAACTTAACACCATTCTAACAATAGTAGTCAAGTATGTAATTTATATATATATATATATATATATATATATATATATATATATATATATATATATATATATATATATATATATATATATTAATGTTTGCTCTCGTAGATGGGTTGTTTTCCCCAGGTTACTAGTCTTTTCTGGAAAGGATTCGAACTCGGGACGTGTAGATTATGCAATCACGCACTCACCTAAATACTTATGTGTTGGTAACGAACAAGAGAACCGTGGGCTTCACACACCCAATGATGTTATGTTAGTTGGTGGGGAGAGTTGGGTGGGGTGTTTGATGATTCTAGCATTAGAAAAATAGTATATGGTAGTAGATTGGTGTGAGGAGTTGAGTGGGTTGTTTAAAAAAATAACCATAGAAAAAAACTATATGGTAGTTGATTGAAAATTCTACTGGACATCGGGATGTGTGCATGACACACAAGATAATGAGTTGACACATTGGCTATCCTGTTGGGTCACCGCCGAGTGCTTCACGTGCATATACACACCATATTTTGTTGTGTTGTGTCCGGGTATTCCCATAAGGTTATTGTCTTATTTTGTCCGGCTAAAAATTACTTAAAAAAACAAAAAAACAAAAACTTTCTCGAATATTCTAATTTAACAATACGGGTGATGCAACTCGGGACATCTATATATATAACTCTCTTCTGGGAGACGCTAGAAAACAAGCTGTAAACGCGCTCCTTACCATCCCCACCCCTACATGGTCTTAGTGAGCTGTGGTTCACGCTATATTTACCTTCGTGGAGTCGGGTTTAGTGACGGCTATTAGGGGCAGATAATTTAGTTTGAAACAATTTTAAACGTTGGGGGGGGGGGGGGGGGGGGGGGGGGGAAGGAAGGGGAGGGGGTTATGGTCCTTAACGAGCTACTTATAGTGTTTTAAAGAAATATTTTCAGTGTCAGCATTGGTACTGTCGAATTCACAAATTATGAATTACTGAAAAGTAGTAAAAACAACAACTAAATAGCGGCGTATGTTATGTTTTAAATCCATTTTTATTACTTAAACTGTTTATAATAGAATAGAATCTCTTAAAAAAACAGAATTGCACACCAAGTGAACTTCAAATAAAATGTGCATAATAAAGCGGGATATTATCAGTACTCTATAAATTCACATGCGTTTTTTTTTTTGTAGAAATCATTACTAGAAGCAAAAAAAAAAACAAATCGTTTAGTCAAAATTTAAGAATTTACCAGTAAAGCTGTCACTGCCCAATGAGTAATCGTTTGTTTTACTGGTTTAAGAATTTTGCTTCATTTTATTTTCCTTTATATTTTTTTTTAGCTTACGGAGATAGTGAAATCCTGTATCTGCCCGTCCGTAGTTCTGTATCAAGATTTGCTGTAAGCTGGTTAGTTGGCGGATGATAGTCTATATCTTCGTATATTTCGTTGTCCGTTAGCTTTAAGGGCCACTTGTCTGTAGATTAGAATAGCTGGATTGAGTACATATCTAAACTTTCTACTTCCTGTTTATAGAATTAGATAATTGTTGAGTTTGGGACATGTGAAAATATGTTGGGCTCAAGACTTTACTAAACAACTTGGGCCGTAGTCTGAGAGCCTAGAATGTGTTAACCATTTACCATTTAGGCCGTAGTCTGATGGTCCAGTATTTTGTTATTTTTATTTACATTGTATTTTATTTGAAAAAATGCAACTAACATATCAGGTAATACACGATTACCAGCTCAAGTTATTGCTTATTAGCCAGACAGACTGGCTCAAGCATTTCATAAATTGTCTTTTAATATAAAACAAATTATAACCAAATATTTTTTTCTATCTACTCAAAATTTAGAATTTTTATCAGACAAATCTGAAGACAAAAGAAACTTCAGTTTAAACAATGTTTACACGACAATTATTTTGCCGAAGTATACGTGTTATTTGCGATTTAATTCATCAAAGAATTAAATTAAAATAAAAATAAAAATAAAAGAACACTGGACCATCCGCCAACTTAACAGATAATTTTAAATCTTGTTGCAGAACTACGGACGAACAGATAAATGATTTCACTGTCTCTTCATGCTAACAAAAAACAAAGAAAATAAAAAGGAATAATTTATTTTAAACCATTAAAAGAAACGGTTATTCATTTGACGGTGAATGCTGTATTGTAACGTTCTTAAATTTTAACTATTTCTCAGTTTTTTAAGAGCCACTGACATTTTTATTGCAATATTTTATTATTTTTTTAGGATTAAAAGGAGTAAAAGTTTAGTTTTTTACCTTGTGGTTTTAATATGTTGTATAGTGTATTTCTATTATCTGTGTCACTTTTTGTCTTGTTGTGTCCCCTATCACATCATTATCTTATAAAATATATGTAACGAGCCGGGCCCCGCGGCATAACATTACGCCGCTATTTAGTTGTTGTTTTTTCTACTTTTCAGTAATTCATAATTTGTGAATTCGACAGTACCAACGCTGACACTGATAATATTTCTTTAAAACACTATAAGTAGCTCGTTAAGGACCATAACCCCCCCCTTCCTCCCCCTCCCCCCCCCCCCCCCCCCCCCCACGTTTAAAATCGTTTCAAACTAAATTATCTGCCCCTAATAGCCGTCACTAAACCCAACTCCACGAAGGTAAACATAGCGTGAACCACAGCTCACTAAGATCATGTAGGGGTGGGGATGTTAGGGAGCGCGTTTGCAGCTTGTTTTCTAACGGCTCGAAGAAGAGAATTATATATATAGATGGATCATGCCATTTTATTTCTAAAAAAGATTATATTTCAATTATTTCGTATAATTGGCAATTGTCAGGGGAGCAAACTCGTTTGTTAGTTTGTAGAAACAGATTACAATAAATTCGAGTTAAAATAAAAATGTATAGCACCAAGCTTTTAGAACAAATATCACAATGTAAATTATTCTATAGAATATGTTTAGAATTTTCTTTTTAGATCAAATATGAGAATCTACATCTAATAAGTAAGTGATTTTATTTCAAAACGTTTTAGATCAAATTTAAGAATCTACTTCTAACACGTAAGTGACTTTATTTCAAAATGTTTTAGATCAAATATGAGAATCTACATCTAACAAGTAAGTGACTTTGTTTCAAAATGTTTTAGATCAAATATGAGAATCTACATCTAACAAGTAAGTGACTTTATTTCAAACCGTTTTAGATCAAATATGAGAATCTACATCTAACGCCTCACTGACTTGTATGTCATTGCTTCTTTTTACTGAATTCACGGATTCATTACAATTATGTTTTTTTTTTTACTTTGTCTGAAGATATATTTTAATTATTTGTCTAAATCATGTTTAGTCAGACTTTTCTTACAGAACCTGTGAAGACAAACCCATCAACATTGTGTATGTATATACAAACACACAACTAAGATATCCAGAATAAAATATAACGTTTCGAGTTCACGTTGTAAACACATTTTAAGCGACATAAATCTTGTTCCAGTAATTCTGTTTAAGATCTTAGAGTGTTGCTGTGTCTGTATTCCCAGACATTTTCATGAGCCGATTCCTTGTCCCCCGTTAGGTCTGTGTTGTAACCTGATGATTTTGTCCACAACAATCCAGTGATGGCTCCGTGTTGTAGAAGGGGATCTATGTCTACCGTGTAGCCTTCTGACAGTTTACACATAGCCTCTGTAGATAGATCTACATAAGAAATAAATCTGACTAATTAGTAGACACTAGTGTTGATACAACCCGGTACATCCTGGTTTATAGAAAGTTTCAAGTATTTATCAAACAATCAAAACATAATAAATACGTATGCATGAGACAAAATGAGAAGAAAATATCCACTAGTTTTAACAACAAATGATAGACTGTTACTTTATAGTATCTGAGTCTGTTATTGTTGCGTATACAATGAAATAAAATAACGCAATCCTTAGACAATGAGAATGTTATTGAAAAAAAATATTTGTTCTTTACCTAGAAAGTTAAAAACTAAAACACGTTACATGATTGTATATTTTATAATAAAGGAACAATAATGATAACAATTACATTAATTAGATAGCAATTAAAGAAAAGTGTTTTTATCATTATCCCCAAATATTAACCTGACTCGTCCATTTACAATATTATTTTTTTACTGTGTCACTTACCCACACACTGACCAGTATCCGATCATGAACTCGTGTTCTGGAAGGGAATCTATTTATAGTGCAAAAAGTTTCCACTGTCTACCATTTAATCGTTACCGTTATTGCTTTAAAAAAAATCTAGATTACATTATTTTTTGTATTTGCTTTTGAATATGGCAATATTTACACAAATTGTGAACATACTTGTTTAGCCAAACTGTTCGTACAAAAGAGGAAGTAGAAAGTTTAGATATGTACTCAATCCAGCTATTCTAATCTACAGTCATGCAAGTGGCCCTTAAAGCTAACGGACAACGAAATCTACGAGTTAGATCTTCCACCAACTATCCAGCTAACATCAAATCTTGATACAGAACAACGGACGGACAGTTAAGGCTTTCAATATCTCCACAAGCTAAGAAATAATACGAAGAACATAAAAGGAAGCCATTTTTGACTAAACCATACAAGAAATAGGACCAATAGAGCCAATACCAGCTGGCCAACACACCTCCTCAAGCTTACCTCAATAATATCTATTTCTAGACGTTTTGTATTATCTCCCCAAGTTAAATGCACATCATAACATGTTATGGTCAAATTTACTAGGACAATTAAATTCGTTTACAGGATAACTGAAGTGTTGTAAATTAAGACGTGATAAAATACGATGTGTATGTGTAATAATTCGAATATGTATGCATTACAATGTAAACCTAGGCTTACCATCTAAACAATGGGTC